GGATATGAGGAAAGAAGACCCCCACTAAACCAAGTAGCCTGGATGGTTTTACTTCGAGAGGATGTTGATCGACTCTTGATATGCTGGAGAGACCCATCTCTGTCCAGCAAGCCCAGGAGGAAAGGGGGGAGCTGTCTGACCCTCCCCTGCTGCCACAGTTCAAGCCACCCTTGCAGCTAGATGATTTAGAGCCACCCTAGTGCAGCCCTGCTCCTCTGCCATATCATCTGTCACCGCCACAATACAATTTATAGCCTCCATCATATCATCCAGCACCGCCACAAGGCCACCCGGTCCCTCCCTAACACCATATGGTCCCTTTTTCATGGGACTCGGTTTCACCCATGATGATCGTAATAGATATTGACACGAGGGACCTTGATGTATTTCTAGAAATGAACTAGTTAGCGGCGTATCATGCCACCGTGGATTGTTTCAACAAGAAACTTGTATTTAAGCCTCCTAATGAAGAATTATTTACAAGTTAATAAAAGTATTGAATATTATTCTCTCATGGCAATTTTCTTATTACATAGCGCTTTAACTCGGTTGTTTTCTCTACATAGACAAACCTAATAAAGAAGTTTGCATTCAAGAGATCCTAGTAGTATGAGACTTCCTGGATGTGTTTCCTGATGAATTACCTAGATTGTCAGTGGACAAGGAAGTTGAGTTCGCTATAGACCTTCAACCTAACACAAAGACTATCTCAATTGCCCCTTACTGCATGAATCATGTAGAGATAGAAGAGCTGAGAAAACATATCAAGAAACTACAAGATAGTTGGGTCATCCGATACAGTATGTCTCTTTGGGGTACTTGAGTCACATTTGTAAGAAAAGGGGATGAGAAGTTAAAATTATGTATTAACTACAGAGGATTGAACAAGGTCGCAATCAAGAACAAGTACCTCATTCTTAAGATCGGTGATCTTTTCGACCAGTTGCAGGATGCCTAAATTTTCTCCAAAATAGACTTGCTTTTAGGTTACCATCAGGTAAAGATAAGGGCAGATGACATTCTCAAGACAGCATTCAGAACCAGGTACACACATTATGAGTTCTTGGTCATTCCCAATGCACAAACCACTTTTATGGACTTGATGAATAGGTTTCTTAAACAATTTCTAGATCAGTACATCATTGTATTTATCGATGATATCCTGATCTATTTAAAGAGCAAAGAGGAAGACACTCACCACTTGACTCAGGTTTTACAAGTTCTCAAGGAGAAGACACTGTATGCCAACTTAAGCAAATGTGGGTTCTAACTCGAGTAAACTACATTTCTTGGGCACATCATATCAAGGGATGAAATATCAGTGAACCCTGAAAAAGTTGAGGTAGTGCTTGGTTGGAAGAAATTGACATCGGTCAAGGAGATTCATAGCTTTTTAGGAATGACAGGTTGTTATCATAGGTTTGTGAAAGAATTTTCTAGCCTAACCGCTCCTTTGACCTGACTCACAAAGAAGAACATTAAGTTTGAATGGAACGAAAACTGCAAAAAGAGTTTTATAGAACTCAAGAAGCGGTTGAGTACTGCACTCGTGTTAGCTTTACCAAGTGGAACATGTGGATATACAGTTTATAGTGATGTCTCCTACTTGGGATTAGGTTGTGTTCTGATGCAGCATGACAAGTTTATTGCCTATGGGTCTAGATAGTTGAAGAGTTATGAAAAAAATTACCCATCCACGACTTAGAACTTGTCGCCATTATCATTGAAAACCTGGTGCCACTACCTGTATTGGGAGACTTATGAGATTTATACTGATCATAAGAGTTTGAACACATATTTACTCAAAAGGATCTCAACATACGTCAGAAGCATTTGATAGAGCACCTCAAGGACTACAATTGTAATATTTTGTATCACCCGAAAAAGGGCAACGTAGTAGCTGATGCGCTCAAAAGAAAAGTGCAGGTATGTTAATTCACCTAATGATTTTTGAATGTAGGATAATAGGAGCCATACAACAGATACAACTTCAGGACTTGAAGAGATTTACATGTTTGGCCCACCTGACTGTCCAACCCAAATTGATCTAGAGAATAAAAGAATCACAATCCACCGATTTCACCCTAGCAGCACTCAAGAAGGATACAGAACAGGTAGTAAATTTAGAATTCTGAGTCTCTACTGATAGGTTGCTCAGATTTCAAGACAGGGTGTGTATTTTGGTTGACAGTGAACTGAAAAGGGACATCATGACAAAGGCTCATAACTCAAGGTTCGCCATGCATCCTAGAAGTACTAAAATATATCAAAATATGCTACCCCAATTTTAGTGAAGCAGGATGAAAAGTGAGGTAGTTGACTTTGGTTCCAAGTGTTTAGTATGTCAACAAGTTAAGGCAGAACATCAACACTCAATCGGACTACTC